CAACGGGCATAAATTGCAACAAGGGAAATTCTTACTGAATATTAGGAAGTTTTCTTCACTGTAAGGGTGAGCAACATTGCAACAGGTTGCCCAGAAAGGCTCTAGAATAATCCTGAAAAGCCTGATACAACTTAGAAGTTAGATCTAACCTTCAAACCTGGCCCTCCTTTGAGCATGGGACTGGCCAAGATGACTTTCAGAGGTCCTTTCCAACTTAAATTATTTTATTAGTCTACGATTCCTGTTTTCAGCTTAGACCATTTTAGCTACCGCTTTAATTGCAGTGTCACACAAATCCAGGAAGACATTGAATATTCCACAATCTCTTCCTGGCATTACTGCAATCTTAGAGGGTCTCGCTAAAAGCTCTTGCCTCAGAATCTATACATTAAACTATCAAGCCAGGGAAAAGGCTATCCAGTAGGTATGACACTTTGTAAATTATGGAAATTATCTTGTTTTGCTATCTTTCTTACAATACGAATCACTTCCAGATGTACAAATTGCCAAGATAGTTAAAGACTTTTCTCTCTCATTACTACAAAACAGCAGGTGGGGAATAGCCAGCTGAGTTACTTCAGACAGCAGCAATAGCTTGGCTTACCTTGCTAGTAAACATGAGTATGAACTTGGCTCACTTTTTGTCCAAATAGCTACTGTCAAACAGACTTCTCCGTGTGTCAGTCAGGAATAGAAAAACATTTACATTTTTCTTGTAAAAAGGAGTTTTTCAATACACGATCTCTTTCGCTAATATATCAAGGTGCATACGTTTCTGGTGGTGACAGCAGGGGATAATTTATTAGCACAGGCAGAGTTGCTAATTAATACTGCTAGAACTAGGAGCACAACCTCAATATAAAGACTTGAGTAGAGTTTTTTTCCTACTCCAAAAAAGGTACAAAAAGAAGCTGCTGTCTGCTCATCAACAGAAGCCTGACTGTTTTAGAAAGATGTTTCTGGATCAAAGTTGCCTGTTAATCTTTGCTCTAGCAGTGAAAAAGTAAAAGCCCTATTACAACTGGTAAGGCACCAAGAAGCTACTCCCATGTGAAACATAAGTATTTTGGGGGGAGATAGTATTTACTCCTTAAGCGTGGCAGTTCAGGTCAACCTCTTCATAATGGATGGAAGTATGAGAGAACGCCTCTAATAAAATTTCCACCTGCAATTAAACATAACGATACTGATCTTACTCCAAACTTTTCCTTTGGGAGGGAAAGGGGTTTCTTACTAAACATAGTAGCCACATAACAATCATGTGGCCAAGTGTAAGAAACAAACAGTTAGATCACATACCAGAGAGCTGAGAGGAGGGAAGAATTTACCGAGTACTTAAAAACTGAGAAGTACCAATTTCTCAAGGAGTCCATTGGTCCTCTGCCAGAGCAGAAGCATGGTCCAAGACGGCCATCAACAGCCCCACTAGTCCAGGCAGACTTGCTTCTTTTGAAGTGTAGGTTTTAGAGTAAGCATCAGCCCTCACTGCTGCACAACCATGACAGTTTTGTGACACAAGCACTGTACACAAACTGCAAATCTCTCACAGGACTTGAGACTAGCATGCCCATTCCGTATTTCATTCATACTAGGGATTTTGAATGGGTAATTCTCCTTTTCATAATTAGCTTCAATTGAAATAAATTATATTCATGTTGTAAATGATCAGCTGAAGATTTCTAAAGACCCTGTATACAGTCTAACAAGATAATTCTTCCCCACGAAGCTAACAGATACCAGCAGACAGCAGTTCTCAGGTATCATCTACAGTTCAATCAAAAAGTCTTAAAATGCTGCAACTATAGTACAGTAAGTCTGCCCGAAAGAACTGTTCAGTACAGCAAAAGAAAGGTTTGCGAGACTAAAGCAGGTTTAGTTTGGTTTTTTTTAATACTAGAAGGTACTCCTGCAATGCCAAGTTTTTATCTCTGAATCAAACTGAATTGAAATACTCTGTAGCATTTCAGAAATAAAGTGCCAGAAGTCATCCGCGGATACTGGCTCCTTGTAATCCATTACGAAGCTGTACTTTAGCAAAGGAAATTTCACATGAAACTGGGGCTAGGTAAGAACTACTGCTTCCACTGAAAGTCACTCAGAAGTATCTTTTTACTGCTGTTCCTTCATTGCCCACTCAATGCAGTTAAATATTAAGAAATTGCTGGTCTTGCCTAGGAAGTTAATGCTTGCAGACTGCTCCAGCACGCAGCAACCTTGCAGGTCAGTTGCTGAAACCGCATCTTCTGAATACTTCCTCAACAACCTCAGTACAGAGTTACCCAGCTCAGGCTGCCTATGAAAGGCAATTAAATTAACATGGCCAACTTTTCAGGAAAGCAAATCAGAAGCACTCAAAAAAAAAAAAAAATATCCCATCTACATAGAGGCAGTAAACTCCAGGAAGTCTGGTGAACAGCTGGAAAGGGAAGGAAGCATCTTCAGCTAGTGCAGCTATTTCTGTAGTGAATGTGACTCTACATTCAAACTTATGATCTACTTTTCACTAACAAGCTCCAATTTTATTTCAAACCAACTAGGAGGACAAGAGTAAACACAGGTACACAGAATCATTGCAGATGGAAGGGATCTCTGAGACCGTCAGTCTCACCTCTTTGCTCAAGGTACGGTTAACTACAGCAGGCTGCTTGGGGTTGCGTCCAGCTGGATTTTGAATATCTTAAAGGATGAAGAAGGCACAACCTTTCTGGGCAACCTATTCCAAAGGTCTGACCACATTTCACAGCTAAAAAAAAAAAGTTTTTTTCCTTCTGTTTGAGTGGAGTTTCTTGTATTTCAGTTTATGCCCATTGCCTCTTGCCTCTTCACTGGGCACCACTGTGAAGAGTTTGTCTCAGTCTTCCTTAGTCCCCTCACCAGGTATGTATACATATGGATAAGATTGTCCCCTAAGTCTTCTCATCTCAAGGCTAAACAGTCCCAGCTCCTTCAGCTTCTCCTCCTATGTCAGATGCTCCAGTCCCTCTCTGTGGCCCTTCACTAGACCCACTCCAGGATGTCCTAATGCAAGTGAGTAATAATACAAAAAGGCAATTTCAGATTTTTCTTTGCTTTTGAGATCTACAGAAAAAGATCTGAAATCAATGCAGCTTTTTGGAGTCACTTAAGAATACAAATTACTGATCCTTTGTGTGATTATCATTTGTTTATCTCAGATGCCAGATCAATGTCACTTACAGCAAGAGGTAAGCTCTACCAAGGCAGACAATTTCATTAGGTAGTTGAAAATTTGAGATAGTGGGTAGAAAAAGATTCAAGTGATTGATTTAAATTTAAGAGCAATACCCACAATAGAATTCTGCTGGCATTATGCTACAGTTGCACAAAACAAGTATCTTCATCTCTTAGTTGTATTACTAAAATTGCACCTTTAGACTTTTATCAAAATATTACTAACAACATTATTAGGAATGATACTCCTTACAGCAGGATCTGTATGACAAGATTCCAGATGCCACCTGAACACAAATTTATTAGTTAAATAAAATCCTGCCTATCACTAATCTCATAATCTCTTTCTAATAACCACAGTTTTGGAGAAGAGAGAGATAATGCTGTAAGGCACTTGAAAAGCTCTAGTTCGAAATCAGGCCAACTGTAAAGTAATTCTAGCTTCCACTTGCACCTAAAATAAGACAGCGAACACAAGTCTGTGATAAATCCAATAAAACATCCCTCGTATTATGCACTACAATAACATGTTTCATTATACTACTAGATATCTAAAGAAACAATTCAGAAGAGCAGAAATCTAACTCCTACTTTTTATTTCTGCACTGATGTTTCTTCTGGAACTTTCTGAAAGTTTCTACTTCAACAAGCTTTGTATCTCTTGGTACCAGAGTAAGTTGGGCAGTCTGAATAGAAAGAAATAGCAGCAATTACTTTGAGACGTTTGGCTCGCTTCCATGATGGAAAGAATGTGCATGTTCAGCACTAGAACTTCCCTGAACTCATCTTGGCTACCTCAGAAATGGTTTCTCACTGTTGCAGAGGCAGTGGACTTACAGCTGCTAGCTTATCTATGAAGCAAGGAAGACCTTCACCCCAAGTCAAATCCCAGCCTTTCTGCAACAAGTGTACTACTGATCAATGAGAACTTCCTCCTTCTCATGAGGTGAGGAGACATCCAGTCAGGCATAGGAGAGAGGAAAAAAAAAGAAAAAAAAAAAAGAAAAAAGAGTTCTGTGCTGTAGATTTCCCAAAGACCATCTTCTGCTTGCTCCAAAAGGCAGGTCAGGAAAAAAAATTAATTATGATATAAAAATTGAATTACTATTGCATTAACTAAAGAAAAGAATACAGAAGACAACCATCACTGCAGTACTTTTAGGACAAGGCTCTGTTCTTCCCATCTGAACAAAAACCCAGGAAAAAAACTCAACTGGATTTCAGTTTGAAGTCATATGAAAAAGCCATTTTTACATGCCTTTTGCTAATGGAAATCCGTCATTTTCTTTTCT